AGGTACTCCACCACCCACAGCGGACCAACAAGCAACCGACAACCAGGTCCCTTCAAGAAACAAGAAACCACCATTAGCCCTGAGAAGACTACTGGGCCACAATATAAAAGGACTAAAAGAATAATCACAGACCTTTATATAACTTTTCATATTCAGACAATCAGTCTTAAACACTCTCTGATCCAAGAACCATTTAAGACTTGGGGGGAGATAGAACATAATGGGTTACCTGTAGAATAGGAAACTGGTAACTAGTTGTAGTTTCACTGTGTACTTATTCTGACTTCTCGTCATTCCGTGACGAGCTCAATTATTATTAAAATATTGTGTTATCTGGAAATGGACGAAGTCTTATCTAGTTAGCAAAATAATGATGGGTGAACTAGACCCATGGTCAAATAGTCTGATTAACCAATTGAGTGGTAGCACTCTCCCCCTGACGCAGGGCCGTAGCTAGACGTGATAATTGGGGAGGGGGGTATATTCATACATTTATGTTCACATACCGGTACGATAGAAACAATTGCTTTCAAAAGAAATCCGTTGGGCAGAATACGAATATATGAATATGCATCCCCCAATTATCGGTCTAGCTATGGCCCTGCCCTGACAAGTAAAATAATATGCCATTATGGTAAAATCATCTGGCGTTATAATATTGTATATATAATTGTGATATTTTCCCATACACCATAACATTGACCAGAGGGCCTATAAATTATAGTTGCATTTTTCACAACTTCTCCTGGTTACTCATCTAATAAATGTATAATTCTGTCTACACAATTATACCCTTAAAAAACCTGCCTATTTCAAATTGTAGGTACATGGACTGCCTTTAACCCGGAAACAATCCGACTAATGATGGGTAAGGCTGTTTTAACTTAGTTTGAACTCAACTGGAACTCATAAATTTAATTTTTGACTACACAGTGGTGTAACTTAATTGCCATTATACTTGCCATCAGGTTTAGTTTTGCAGGCTCACAGATTAACAAAATTTAAAGCAGTTTATTTTAGTAAGGATTGGTTAATCACTATTTTAATTTTATGTTTTCCTTAACAAATTCAATTGAAGACTAATAAACATTCAGTATTGAATTCAGCTGATTTATTAATGATAAAGAATCAAAGAATGCATAACATAAAGAAGCAAACAATTTAGTATAGCAATTATACAGAGACCAATATAAATAATTGTATAGAATATTAATAATTAATTAGAAATTTGCCTTTAGTCAGTATTGTATAGCCTTAAAAGTATAAACTAGTTAACTTGACTTAAAACTGTTGTGTTGATCATATTGTGTACACTTAGCTTAGCCCAAACTAAAATACCAGTATATTTTTGGTGTTGTTCTGGGTCTTTAGCCATGTTTGATACAGATGGCAATGGTGTAATTGATTTCAACGAGTTTGCTGCATTATGGCAATATGTTTGTGACTGGCAAGAGACATTCCGCAGTTTTGATTTGGACAACTCTGGTACAATTGACAGACATGAATTGAAATCAGGTATGCCTGTGTAATGCACAGTCAAAAATTTAGGAATTTTTTATCATGCCAAAATTGCACCGGTCAAGCAACAATTAACACCCAACTGGAAAATATACACACTATGCAGCTGTACCTGAATATAGGATTTATAAATTATAGCAACCAAACTAAGGGACTGGTCATAAAGTAACTGCTAGGGTGGGCTGGAGGTAAATCACAAATTTTGCCAATAAGTTTGGTGACCCATCTTAGGATGTAGATAAAAATTGCAAAGCCCATCTAATCTTACAAAAAATGTTTCATGACCCACCCAATTTTTATTGGAAAAATACACTTTTATAATAAAAAAACTTGCAGGTATACTATGAACATTATTTGTAAATATACACGCACTGTATTGACATACATAATTCCACCAAGTTTGACCAACACATTGATACTGAGCTGCTCTCCAGTTGGTTGTATTTGCTATGATTCGACCACTTGTTGTTGTTGTATAAACAGAGTACTGGCTTCAATAGCATCATTTGCATTTGATAATTTGGATATAGTTTTGTTTACTTTTATTATTATCTTTATTTTTTGAAGTAGACATGCATGGGTTTTTGTTTGGTGCCCCAACCGTGGACATACAAAAAAAACTGGCGGCCCATCGAAACTGACCAAAGATTTTCCATGGCCCATCCCAAATCACTCCAGCCCACCCTAGCAGTTACTTTATGACCGGTCCCTAAAGGCAACCAAATTCACATCTCAATATTTAACAAAATCTGCAACCATTGCGCACACATACACACATCTCTTCTCTGCAGAGCCTTTCCATGGGGCGACCTTTCGGGCTGCAAGCAGGCTACCTCTTACCATCTATGATATTTTCGAAGATATCTAGAAGATTTTCCCTTTGACAAGTAAAATTGTCTGACAGATCATATAAAGTTATAATTAAGAAGGACATGTTACATTGGGGTACATTGCAGCTTAATGGGTTGATAAGGCCAATGAAAATTGATATCATGTTTCTCGTCCCCGCCCGCATGGGATTTATCTGCCGCACGAAAATTTTTCATTATTCATTATTTTTGAAAAATTAGGCTTAAAAAACACCAAATTCATCTCTAGATCAAAGTCTTATTGCTGCATTCCGCAAGCGCAACTCAAATTGTATCTTTCTAAAGATGTTACTCGCCAGAATGCCTCTATTTTTCATGTCAGCCCTGGTATGTGTAGAAATATACTGTAGTCTGTAGACTGTAGTGTAGGACGTATTAAATTAAAATGAATTATACACCAATTCTTAATACTTCAGATTTTTATGGGGTTTTTTACTGGGTCAAGGAAATTATTGACAAGCAGAATTCAAATACAAAAAAATAATAAAAAATGAAAAAATTCCGCTCCAAATTTTTGAAAATTGTGGACGAGAAACACGATATCAATTTTCATTGGCCTAAACTTATATTCCAGTTCAACTACAGTTTTGTAAAAGTTACTGTAGTTTTATTAATCAATTGAGCACCAAGTAAAATAATAAAATAAGGTACATTACACAGGAAAAAAATTAAATTTCCATTAACGGATTTTTGAATGTAAAAACTGAACTTTGACCATTATTGGTTATTATAGATGATGTTTAATATTTACCAGGAAAATAGCATTAATTGATGGTAATTGGTAAATATTAAACATCGTGGTTTTTACCAATTAATTTACCGTATGGGGATTCTATAATAACCAATAATGGTAAGAGTCCAGTTTTTACATTGATAGCATACATGATAAATCTTTAAAAAACCATTAATGGAAATTTAAAATTTTCCCTGTATATAGGGCGCAATGCAAAGTATTGGTTAATAATTTTTTTCTGTATTTTTACTAAGCACCACACAGAAAGAAAGTCCCCCCTAAATATATCATCATAAGTTCTAAATAAATGTTTACGGATAATAGACAGATCGCTTTTGCTGGTCCCATGCACGCGATGCTCAATTGGGGCGAGGTCCCAGGCCACATGATTCTAGTTTTCTGAGGAGATGATGCCTTGACGTTATCGAGAAATGTGGTGGTTACACCATTAAATCATTGATGAAACAATTTACTGTTATACCTTGTGAAATTTAAATGAAGTCATTCTTGTTAATTTTGAAATTGGGTATTTTTGTATTCAATGGAGGCTAAGTCATTCTTTAAAACACGAATGGCCCCATTCTTCACGTAGCATTAAGCAAACTACCATAGGTCTAATTAGTGTTGAGGTATGATTATCAGGTAATCATTGATTTAGAACTTACGATTATATATTTAGGGAAAGATTTTTCTGTGTTGGTGTAATGTACTCAGGTGAATATGATGCTTTTGATGTTACTGAGTGTATATCCACACCGGGCAAGCTTGAATAATATGCTTGGCCACGGTGGGAATCGAACCTACGACCTTTGGAATACTAGCCCAATGCTCTGCCAACTGAGCTACTGTACGCGGTCAGGCATATTTTTCAAGCTTGCCCGGTGTGGATGTACACACTCAGAGTAACATCACAAGCATCATATTTAGGGAACTTTCTTTTTGTACTCTACAAAATGTTTTAAATAAAACACCGCATCGAAATTTCTATTCATTCATTTCCAATTAGGATTCAACCTGTCAGAGAGATTTTACGGCATTTTAATAACAAAATTTGATCGCAGTGGTCGTGGTGATATTCGTTTTGATGACTTCATCCAGTGTTGTGTTGTCTTACAGGTAATATATACTGTATTATTTTCATAATGGAGTTAACCAATATTAGGCAATAACGGAGACGGAGTCGTTTATGCGGTTTGGTAGGTCCACTCAAAGGTAAGAAAATGTTTTTTCTTTGTGGGAACCTGGGTTTTGGACTCAGAATTTTCTACAAAATATTGCAATAAATAGGAAAATATAATAAAATTGTGATTTTTTATTGTCTTATGGTGTGATCATGACTGACCTTATACCTTTTAAAATACTGACCTTATACGTTTAGAAGACTGACCTTATGCGTTCAATTTGAATCCGGCAATTGAGAATATGGTCCCATAGCGCGTCGTGTTATCTCGCTGAAATTTTGAAATAATAGCTAGAACACATTTGTTGGGAGGAACAAACAATAAAAAAATAACAAAAAATCGTTCTTTTAGATTTTTACATTTCAGCCAATGCGTGCGCATAATAACAGCCCCCGTAATAATTAGCGCAATGTACGTGGTATTTAATGTTATCTTGAGATCGTTGGTTTCAGCCTTCAGGCAGGATTTGTTGCACTTAACAATACGAAATATGGTGAAAATCGTGTTTTTCTTGAGTGAAATTAATTTTTAGGGCCGAAATAGGCCTTCTTAAATGCTTAATAATCAAACCGATAAAACGGAAATGTTGGTTTGCCAAAATGTGTTATAATGTCATGGGTGTATAATAATAATAATATATATATAATATATTTAGATTTATACAGCGCTTAAATTATATAAAATATTCCAAAGCGCTTTACAACAATGAGGTTATACTATATACAAGTAGCTAAAATATTAAGAATTAAGGTATAGGTGTCTATAAATCTAAAAGTTAGAATCGAAAGCTTTCTTAAAAAGGAAAGTCTTTAATTGAGATTTAAAACAGTCAATTGTTTTACTATTTCTAATACCAGAAGGTAACATGTTCCAAATTGACGGAGCTGCATGCACAAATGCTCGATCACCAAGAGTCTTGGCTCTAGTTTTTGGGATAAAAAGTAGTCCCTGATCATCAGATCTCAGTTGGTAACAGCAGTTCGGTTTTTCTAACAACAGTTCCATAATGTAGCCTGGCGCCATCCCGTGGAGAGCTTTATATACCAGAAGTGCAATTTTAAAATCAACGCGAAACTTGACAGGCAGCCAGTGAAGGTGCATCAGGACAGGGGTAATATGAGCACATCTTGGTATAAGACACGTCACTCTAGCAGTGGCATTGAGAACTCGTTGAAGACGCTGAAGTTGGTATTGGGGAATGCCGAACAAGAGAGAATTGCAGTAGTCCAAGTGTGACGTCACAAAGGCATGTACGAGCGTTTTAGTTGATTCGATGGAGAGAAACTTCCTTATTTGTCGGATGTTGTACAAGCCCCTAAATGCTTTGCTGCAAACCTTGCCCACATGGACATTCATCGAGATATGTTCGTCAAACCACGAACCTAGATTTCGGACTTCTTGTACAGGTTTTATATCAGCATCACCAACTTCAATCGAGTCGATTGTAACCTTAGACAGCTGCTGGCGAGTTCCAATTATCAAGAATTCCGTTTTAGTGTCATTGAACATTAATTTATGTGAAACTAACCAAGCACGAACTTCGACGATGCAATTATTAATAGTTTGAATAGCTTGGTCTTGGACAACGGGTGACTCAGGACGGAAAGATAAATAAAGTTGAGTGTCATCTGCATACCCATGGGAAGAAGGTAAGTGCCTGTTAATAATCTGGAACAGTTGAGACACGTATAATAGGAAAAGGACCGGTCCAAGACAGCTTCCTTGTGGTACTCCACAGTTCAATGTAAAATTGGCGGAAAACTTTTGCTTAATATTAATACGCTGCTTTCTACAGGAAAGAAACGACTTAATCCACTTTAAGGCATTTCCGATCACACCAAATTCTAACTTCAATATATCCATCAGAATTTCATGATCAATGGTGTCAAAGGCGGCACTCAAATCCAAGAGCACTAAAAGAGTTACTTTCTGTTGGTCCATGTTCATAAGGATATCATTGTGGACTCTTAGGAG